GAAGTGAAGGAAATGGAAAAAATGACTTCCTTTGGAATGAGAGATGAAAGTGTCGTACAAGACATACTCAAGAGAGAAATCTTCAAGACGCTGGTTGGGAAATTTGAAGAGAAGTGTCCGCTGTTGCATAGTGTTCTGCAAGCACTTTTAGTAACAGATAAAAGGCAAAGAGTTAACAAAACCTCAGAATATAAACTGATGTGTGGTGTTAATGCTTTGTCTCTGTTACTTAGTGTTAGGAATCAGAAGTGCAAAAATGAAGTTCGACTGCTCCTTGGTCTTGTTTGTGTCACATATTTATCAATTTAAACAGTTTATCAATCTTTTAAATTCTATTGGATTGACTCCACATTGGGATACAATGTAAGTATGCTATTTTTATCACTGCATGAAGTGAATGTACATACCATTATCACAATTTATTATATAACCATATGTGCATAGGAATCCATGCTACCCATCCAGTCATTTGGCTATTTGCTTCTCTTCATTTGATTTGATTGAGTGAACTTGACTTGGCCTAGAAGAAACAACCTTAAGACCTGGGACTTGTCCTTGTTATACCTTAAGATGAGGATTTAGATGAAAATTTATAATAGGACTAATAACAAAAACTCTCACTAGTCTTCATTTATCATGACCGTGCGCTGGAGAACGCGCTGCAGTCTTATGGACTGATTTCATCAAGAATTTGATAAGACTGGTCGAGAGCAGTACACTGAGTGTTTATCAAGCTTATTAATCTTTTCCTGAACTTTTCCATTATAGAAATAATTTTCTTGATGAGCACCAAGCAGAATTGTCAGCGATTATCCAAGAAAAATGCCTTGAAACAACACCAGTCATTTTGTTAATGGATAACGTAAATATGTATCGTGGAAGGAAACGCCATCTACGACTTTTCAAAACTTTGGGGCCCCAAATGTGAAATTTTACCGTAAGAGGAGCAATTATACCAGATGTTAGCAAAATTGAAGAACTAATGACCTGTAAGGGAACCGCCACAATGCCCCAAACAGATATTTCAGAAATTACAGTTAAAGATCTCTTTTTAGGTACGTATTACACAATACTGTAAATACTAGATAATATGCACAGTGTCAGTGTGTAAGGGCGGGTATTTGTAAACAATGAGTCACTTGATTGGCTATAATTGAAATAAGGTAGATATTCGTGGGTTGTTGACAATATTAATTGTACAATGTACTTGCGCACTATAAGGTTTTGAGTCTTTTTATTTTATTTATCTTTTTCTCAGTCATACCATATTCATAGTTAATCTTTTTATTCTGTGTCTTTTTAAGATTCTATGCCTGAACACAAAAAATTATGGGATGACTGGCTCGATGGCTACTATTTGGAGCTTCTTGACGGCTGTTTGAATGACGTACCGAAACCCCCAAAGCCATTTCTGGAAATGAATGAAGCAAATTTGAATTCGTGGCTCTCTAAAGTCGATTTTGATAAACATAAAAGCGAAAGCGTCAAAACGTTCAAGATCAGCCCTCCTTCGAAGCAAGAACGTTGTTTAAATTATCAATGTACCAAGACGGATGTTGTTCACCTTGGATTGTCTTTGGAGAACAATTCAACTCTTACCGGTACCGCTGCCATTCTAGAACAGTTCGGTGCAGAATTTTCCATTCCTTGTCCTCATCATTATGAAATTCCCTTTGACAAATCTGCTAAGAAATATGATCTAAATTCTGCCCGATTGCAATATGAATTCATGATGTCAGTAGATATGCATGGCACTGAAATGCAAGAAATAGAGAAACAACTGCGATCGTATGAAAAACAGATTGACGCAGGTACGTGTGACATTGATGAGACTGAATCTGATGGTGATTCGGGCGAGGGCAGTGATGATGGGACAATATCTTCAGGATCTGTGACCAAGAAGACAGCTCAGCAACAAAAAGATTCAAAATTCAGATCTTTGTACGAAAGAGTTTTGATCATGGCTCAAGAATCAAGTCACTCTATAAATGATGACGCATTGTATAACGTTATCCAGAAGCTTTCGAGCGAAATTGAGCTGATTGATAACACAAGAGACAAGTACGGAAGAACGATATTCCATTGTGCATTTGAAACGAGGAACTTTGTTGTAGTAAAGCTTCTACTTGCAGTTGGAGTCAACCCTAACGCAAAAGAAGGATGTGGAGCCACAGCTATGACCATTGCTGTAGTTAATACTGACTTTGAAGCAACCAGAATTTTGTTAGAAAATTTTGCGGAGTACGAAGGCGCATTTTTTATCTCATTTCCAAGTCCACTAGAAATTGCGACTGCCATGGAATCGACAGATATAGTAGAACTTTTTCAGAGATATTCGCGAGAAAATGAAAATCCTTTAGTACGAGCGCTTCAAAGATTTGACAGCAGTTTTAGCAACAATAATTCGTTTCAAACCCCAATCGAAGATATGGATGATAGCGATCCTCCAACTCAGAGTGATGCATACGAGTACAGGCGATCCGATTGCAAAGGCTTTCCTACAGCAGTTGTCGGCGATGTTGGGACATGTAAAGTGAACCGCAGTGTAAAGCACAGGAATATTACAGCATATGGTTGGATGACTGAAATACCAGGAGACATGCACGCAAAGGGACATTTATGCGAAGCAACATTCAAAGCACATGAAAAGGGAGGGTTCCATAAAGTTGTTAACTGTGTCATGAAAAGACCAAAACTTACTGAAGAAGCATTTAAGAAGAGAAAGTTCCAAGAGCAGAACCTAAACCATATCCAAGAAGTGGTAAGGGATGCAAGCCGTGCATATAGCTTTGCAGCAGTGCAGGAGTTTGCGGCCTCAAAAGAATTCCCATCGAATGAGGATTTAATTGGAGCATTGCGAAAAAATGGAAATCACAATACAATTCTACTTAGTAGTTTCAAAAATTGGTTAAAAAAGTGCGCTGAAAGTGATAACAGTCACAGCTACCACCAACAAATGTTTTCTTTGTTTGGTCCATTGTTGGACTTGTTCGTAACCGCGTCTAAAGAAGGAGATGAAACCATGCAAGAGACAGCATGGGTTCTACTACTGCCTATTTTTGCACAATTGAACTTCCGAAACTATTGGACAGAAGCATTCGTGCATGTGGTGAATTTCACGTCCGTTTGGCCGCTTGCTTTCCGATGTATGATGAAGAATAATATGTCAGTTAAGTGGAAAACGCGGTAATAACATAGATCTTGATGAATATGTGGAAACCCATATTGTCAGACCTCTTAAGAACTATGCAACAGGTAGAGTATAATTATAGTTAAATACCTATATTCAATTTAAGGACAACATTCAACATTACAGTATTTTATATGTTGAATACGCTATTTGCAAGACTAAAGAGAGCGACTAGAGGAACAGTTGCTGGTGTTGCTTTCTTAATAGTCTATACTGTATGTCCAAGTTATAATCAGTTGGTAAATCTTTATCAGCTACCAATAATCTTTATTTAAAGTTCAACAAAGTTCTTGGAAATTGATATAGTCAGTTACTGAACCATTTTATTTCTTGTTAAGGTCACACATCAGTACAAATGTGCCAACGATTGATGGGTAACCTAGATATTATTGGGTCTGCTAGACAAGCATATACCCAACCTTTCAACTATCACCCAACAACGAAGCACAAAGAACAGAGTTCCTTGCCAGATGTTGTCAAGGGAATGTGGTTTTGCCTTTCTAACAACTTTTTCGCTGTGTCGTCTGGTGAGGAGGTTATGGAACATCCTTTAAGAGCACTACATCTACTGTACCAAAACCAGTTTCAAAAGTTTTCATGGAAATCATTAAGAAGGGTGAGAAAAAAGTGGAAGAAAAATTTGAAGCAAAACTTCATGAGACTTTTCCTTCTTTTAGGAAAATATCTTTAGATAATTTACAAGAGACTGACAATGAGTAATGAAACAGTATATTTTACAATTTTACCTCAATGTTATGGAAATGTCTAAAAGTTTCCACATGTTTAGTTGCTTGTAGAAAGAAAAATTAATATTTTTCCCAGGATAAGAATTACAGACATTTTAAATTCTACCTAATTAGGCATAATTTCAACTCATTGGGCTGACAACAGTTATACTTGATTACCACTGAGAAATATTGTTTCCTTCTTACCAGCAACAAGACATGTATAGAAGCTTATTATGTAGAAGCTTATTATATAGAAGCTTGTTTAATCCACAAGTTATGTACATAGAAAAATATTTAAAAACAAAGCAATTTAGCATAATTAAGAACTCAAAACATTTCTAAATATAGTCTCAAGGTAAATATCCTTGTTTCATATTTATTCCTTACAATTTTAAATTAAAAACACATTTTTATCATATATCTGTATGTATAAGTGTATACATCTAGTGAGACAATGATGACTTACATGAACAACTAATATTTTAGATGTACCAGGTAGTAGTAACTAATAGTAATACCTAACTCTTCTTTCAAAAATATGTATGATGATATTATTGTCTACAGATCGATCATAGCACTTCTTGATCATATTTCTTTCAAAATGTTATAAAGAGTTACATGAAAGAATTTTTATGTCTACAGGCACAATCATAAAACCTAAAACATACATATTGTCCTATTTGGCCCTTAAAAGATTAAGAAGATTTGTATTTCTTTATTCCTTACCAAGGTTGCTTTATTCCCAAGAGTAATGTATGTTGTTGTAAATCTGTCATCAACTGCATGAAGATTTTCCATTAAAACTTCACTGATGATAAGGTATTGCACAAATTTAATTGAATCAGCATCATTCTTAAAAGCATTTTTTCCAATACCATAATGTGGGATTAAGTGAAACCCTTTAGCTTCTACATCACGCTTTGATTTTGAGCCTTTAAAAGTGAGTGCAAGCTGCCTGACATTAATCTTTGCATTAACAGCTAACATTTGTTCAAGACACAGGCATATGTTGATGGTTTCCATGGTATAATCCTTGGGTGATGGCGGTGTTGTAAGGCAATTGTCACATGATCTATTACAATTTACATCAAATTCATCAAAGTATTCCAAGATAAGCTTTCGCCGGCATATATTGAGGACATGCAATAGGATACAACTCTATTCAATGAATGCATCTGAAACTCTATGAGATCTTCAGATGCTGCTTTGTGAATTAGCTGGATCAGTTTGTTTCTGTCCTCAAATCGGAACATGATGACACAGTGTGAGGTGTTTCCATCACGACCAGCTCTCCCAGCTTCTTGGTAATATTCCTCAAGCGACTGAGGTAAACTAAGGTTGGTGACAAAACGGACATCAGGTTTATCTATGCCCATCCCGAAAGCACTGGTAGCACATATTATCTGTGCCTTTCCTGACAACCATGCTCGAGCATTGTAAGTTCTTTCAAAGTGATCGAGTTGTCCATGGTAATACACACATGAAACACCTTTGGATTTAAATAGATAGGCCAGCTCAACAGTATCTTTTGTACTGAAACAATACACAATACCGCAAACATTTGGAAAATTCTCTTGAACATACTTCACTACATCCTCTTTTGCATGTGGACCACTTTTGCTAATTACTTTAAAAACCAAATTCTTTCTGTTACAGGATGATTGGAGAATAAGGGGTTGAACTAAGCCTAGTTTCTCTACATTTCTCTGCTTCGTTTGATTAGTTCCAGTTCCTGTAAATGCCACAATAGGTCGGTTAAACTGCTTGAGTGTGCTGAGTTGAGCATACGATGGTCTGAAGCTTTTTCCCCATGTGTCAACACAGTGTGCTTCGTCAATTACAAATCGCAATAATGTTCCGTTCTCTGACATTGCTTGAAAACATGCTGTAGCAGGTGGTGACATAGCAAACTCTGGGGTCAAGTAAAAAAATTTGTGAACTGATTGTTTATCGGTTAGTGCATGAAATATATTGTCCCGTTCTTCAGGGGTCATACTTGAGTTAACATAACAGACATTTATCCCATAGCCTCGTAATTTTGAAATTTGGTCGTTGATTAGTGCCATCAAAGGTGTGATTACAACAGTAATGCCAGTGCATGACAGACCTGGAATCCAATAGCATACTGATTTACCGCCCCCTGTTGGTATTACCGCTAAAGCATCCTTTGTATGCCATGAAAGTCTTCATGTTTGAAAATGTTTTGAAGTATGTCAAGGTGGATGTCACCAGAAGGCTGGGGAATATTGCCTTGGGTGGACATAACATCACTTAATGACACTATGTCACTAGAACCAGGAATATGTGATGTCTGGTTCTATAAAAGAAAAATAAATTACTTATTGAATACATGTTTATCAATTTATGTAAGTTGTAGGCATTTTAAGATTATGAACCCCATCATTCATTTAAAATTATTTTTTCTCTGTGGTAAGATTCTAAGTTTTAAGTAACTCTCACACCTAATCAAGTGATTCTTTTATTTTTTCCTGCGTCGCTCCGTTTGATCGTAGAGAAATTAACGTTTTCTGGCATACTCTGAAAGCTTCCCCATACTTTCGCAGTGTAAACACAAAGGCAAGTCACACGTGTGAAAGGTTGACAATAATTAACTCTCGGAAAAACGCGATAATATCCGACGATTGCCGATTTTATTACGAGTGAAACTGGAACGCGTTCCGCAATGGTTTTGGAACGCGTTCCGATAAAAATCCGAACGCAAATGGAACGCACTGGAACGCATTTGGAACGCAATTGGAACGCATTGAGGAACGTGTTGCGAACGCGTTTCCTGTTAAGTTTTATCTGAGCAGTACTGTAGTCATAATTTACATAAAATTCCAATTTGGTAGGCATATCTTGGCAGCTGTTCATTTCAACTGCAACCTTCAAAGAGATGTTCAGTTACACAAGACGACCAACCAGAAGAGGATTGCAGTATCATATCCGAAGTTCAAAAATGGTGAAACAGTTGTTCGAGACATCAGAGTAAAGCCAAATTTTGGTAAACTTTTTTTTTTTAATTTTATTATCCATCATGGATATCCATTATCCTACACTAATTTTAGCCAAACACTGTATTGATCCATGTACAGTATATCACATTAATAAATACTTTGATTTGTACAGAATATGTTGAAGAAATATTTCAGACTTTGCTCAATGCTACCAAAGACAATCTAAAAAAGGGAATGCTCACTCAAGGCAACTCAAAGAGAATGCTCCACCTCCTATGAATGTTATGCTTAACAAGCAATCAAAAGGCGAGGCAATTAAAAAAAAAGAGGAGAGGAAAAAGATGATTGTGAAAGATGTCCCTCCAACCACACCAGGTATTTATTTGTAAACATGGAAACCCATTATTTTTATTATACTGAATGGTGTCTTTGTGAGTTTGTCACATACACATCCACTGTAATCAAGCATGGTTGCTTATTTCAATTGCATGGTTGCTTATTTCAATTACATTTCTTACTGCAGTTTCACAAGTTGCACCGAAAAAGACAAAAACAGCACCAAAATGCAGGGCATGTAAACAACCCATGAAAGGACACAAATTTGTAGCAGACTGTCCAAGGAATGCAAAGAGCACATGATAGTGATCACAAATGAGGCATTTAAGGGAGAAAAACATATTATGAGACATTTTTTCACATTGGACTATTGCTAATATTACGTACAGAATAATTTAGGTTATGCTAATAAACAGGGGGGATTTACTGGGTGGATACTTTGTAGGGATATATAGGGAGGTTACTTATTGAAAAAGTGTTGCTTATTATTGAATGGGTTTAATGGGGTGGGATTTAATTTAAGGGTGGAGATATTTGTTTATTTAATTAATAAATTATAATTTTTGCCATGCATGTAATAATTTTAAATTTAATCAAATATTTCATTCTCATCCATTTCAAATCCAGTGAATGTTTCCTCTGTTGTATGTGGGAATTTTTTTCTTATTGCATGGTATGCACATGCAGGCAGTGGGATCATTTTCCTTCCAATTACACCATACACCAACCTTGTAAAACTCCTGTATGCCACACTTCGTAAAAAACTGGAAGATATGAAGAAGAAATATTATCTATAGTTACAAAAACAACTATAAGGGCATCCATAATTTCCAAATTTTGGTATATTAAACATTCTTTGTGAAATAAAATTTTATGATGTAAGAGATTCATAAAGATGCACATTAGCAATAACTGTTACAGCAACTAAATGGATAGCAGCTCACCTTTCTTCACCAGCCAATTGTTTGTATTGTTGTTTATTTTTTGTCTTAAATGTCCATGCAGCCATTCGCAAACTCCATTTCTCAAGGCAAACAGGTCTGAACCCTGGATGCTGTGTGACACAAATAACATTGTCCTCACCAGCCAAATCCTGCTGTACGATTTCACTGCACAAGGCCTCTTGGCACTTATCAAGCTCACAACAGCATTTGCATTCTTCCCACTTGCTTAAAAATTCTAGGCTACAATTTCCACATATGCACCTAATAAAATGTATGTAAATTTGCAAACATATAATGACTTCGCTTATTAAGAGCCCATATGCCAAAATGTAAATAAACAAATTGAATTATTATACACCATTAATGTTTAATAGTACTCACCATTCCTTAAGTTCTGTCGTTCCATGCAAACGCTTCGACATATCGTCTTTAATTTTCTCGTTTGCCCTCATATTTTCTTCATAGGGATAGTGTCATTTTTACCTGGTTATAATTGCACCTCAAAGGTTCTAAGATTAGTTGGATATAGTTTTTTACGTAAACAACAGTCCCGTAAGGTGTTCTAGTACTATTTGGAATGAAGTCATTTCTGAATAATCTAAAGCCTTGAATCTGATACACTTAATTGTCGTCATTACAACTTAAAGCAATTTCCACAAACATATTGATATCTGCTACTTTTACGTTGTAATCACTGGCAACGTCAGCAAGATGAAGATGTAATGATCTCCCATTTTGGAATAATATTTTAAATTACCCATTAGTATCTTTATAAAGAAATGGAAGATTACTTTTAGTACAGAATCTGCTTCATTTAATGTATCTCCCTGACAACGGTGGATAGTTTTGGCTGCAGTTGGTCTTAAAGGAAACTGTCTATGTAGAACTTGAATTTTATTTTTTGTGAACTGTCTTTTCACTTCAAGAATTGGAATCCACATGTTTTCTGCTTCATTTAATGTATCTCCCTGACAACGGTAGATAGTTTTGGCTGCACATTGTCTTAAAGGAAACTGTCTATGTAGAACTTGAATTTTATTTTTTGTGAACTGTCTTTTCACTTCAAGAATTGGAATCCACATGTTTTCTGTACCATCATTGTAAAGATATAAGTATTCTCTGCGATAATTATTCCCAATATGTTGTTCTTGAAATTAAACCCAGATAATACTTGGTCGTGATGAACCTTCTACTTGATAATCGATCTTCTTGATTATGCATTCAGCACCATAAGTCATACCTACCTCGAACTGATATGTTTGTTGTGAGGTCATACTTTCCTTCCTTAAGTATTGAACATACAGCATACAAGCCCATGGTTCATGAAGGATCGTTTTGGATTTGCTTTTTGACTCTATGTTTTAATTCGTCAGATAAATCTCCAAGTACGATATCTATTGTTTTAACGTTGACCTTCTAGTTTGAAGACCTCTGAAAACGTCATGATTATGTTGATCAACTGCCATATTAGTACTGAATAGATGAATTAAAGATATTGGATAATCAGAATTTTGGGGACTAATTCTTATAATACTTTGTTTTAAAACATCAATATCAGCTTCTGTATGATTTCCTTCTGTGATACAATTTAAAATTTCAGCCAAATCTTTGTCTTCCCTTTGTCTCCTAACCTTTGATAAGTCAAACATTTGAAAGTATTGTTGAAACATTTGAAAACAAAACTGACATAGCCAATATTAAAAGTTACATGGCTGTATGTAATGACCAAGGTAAATCTGGAAATGCCTCAAAACCAGCTTGCTCAAAGTGTAAAGTACAGGGAAACAAGAAATGTTCCCATTGTTATGTTTGTGGTTCAGATGAACGTTATGCAGGGGGATGTAAACAGCGATTGGGAAACAGACGGGGACTCTTCCAGTAGTCCAAGATAGCAACAAGTCCCATTTATGTGAATACTGTGGTAAGTCACAGAACAGCACAAATATTTTAAGATGTTCTCGGTGTCAAATAGTTTATTATTCTACCAAAGGGTGCCTGTCAGCGCATTGGAAAGACCATCAACCTCTCTGTAGTGCAATTGTAAATATGGTTACGAGATGTGAAAGAAGAGAAAGAATGGTTAGAACCGGAACAATATGTAAGCCATTTAACACCAGCCCAGCAAAACACTGTGATTCTCCTTCGTACCTTCTCCGACTGATACTCGCAATACTGGTGCAGATCCGCGGCCGGCAGCGGTCTGGAACCCACGTTTAAATTTTCAGACATGCGCACAAACGTCCTCTTTTTTCGTGGGCAAGCTTCGGTTTGGAAACTCACTTGAAAAGCTCGGTTTTAAACGAGAGAAATTTCCTCAGAACTTCGACATCCTTTAGCAAGTTCAACAAAATGACATCGCACGAGGTGAGTGGTATAAACTCTGTAAATTTATGATCTATTTTAGTGGAATTTAGTTGATATTTGTGACGAAAAGCGTCTTGGATGGAGCTACAAACAAGATTATTTTATATCGAAAGCAAACAAAGCAATGGATCGCCCCAACAGGTGCCAGCCTCGTTGGGGTTTGCCATGTACTGTTCAGAGTGCCCGCTCGAACAGAATATCGTTGAAAAAAAAACGAAACATGACCTAAATTTCTCGAAAAAATTGATAAATATAGAGGCTCGACAAAATTGGCGCGAAATAATTTCCGCCCTGATTTTTTTTCCGCCTGCAGGTAACCGCCTCGCAGGAGAGTGAATTAGATGCTCAGGGTGCCAGCCCGAACATCACAACACATACAGCAGAGCACATACG